TTGTATTTAACCACCTAACTCTTTTGAATTGAAATACTTAATGTCTTAAATACAAAGTTTAAGAGTATAATTCTTACCTAAGGTTGAATTGAGGTGTGAGTCTATCTCAAACCTCTAAATTGTCTTCAAATTCCACCAATTCTTTATTTTCTTCTCTTTGAATTCAACTCTCCTTCAATCTCTCTCTCTCTCTCTCTCTCTCTCTCTCACACACACGTTTTCATGTTTTGGTCTCAAGAATGAGGAATGATTGAAGTCTAGAAGGTATATGAGCCTTATATAGGTTCATTTAGCTTAGGCTAATTAAGTGGGATTAGCTATAATCAATCTTTTTTGAGTTAATTTAATTTATTCTAATTATTTGATTCCGAATCGAATTCTAATTAAACTTACCAGAAAATTATGAAAATTTTAAATAACATATTGACCTAGTCAATTTCATGTTCAGATGCCAATAAGGTCTTCAATTAACAGAACAAAGTAGAATTCTGAATAGATATTCCTTCGGCTAACAGATAAGAATGCAAAACACATACAAAATGCACAATTGACACATAATCTCATTCCTAAAACTTAATTAGCATTGTCAATTACGGATGAATGGCTAATTACGGATCGGGATTGTCACAGTGTGTGTGTATGGTGTGTTATTTTTGTTATTGGTCTAGTCTAATAAAATTTAAAAGTAATTTTTTTTTGAAAAAATTGAAAAATATCAACAAAAATCTTATTAAAAAAGTAATTGTCAAATTCAACATTAATTTCACCTAGTGTTATTTTAATACCAAAGTGTTGTTACTGTATGTGTCACATTTGTTTGTAAGATAAATTTTGAAAATTTATTTTTTACTTGTTTGTTACATAACGTTTATGTTTGATAATGTACATATTTATAATTCTTATATTTATATTTATAATTTTTTTTGAAGAATGTAAACAAATTCATTAGATGCCTTTTCGTTTTTAAAAATTTATAAATATTTTATAAAATGTACTAAATTTTTGTAATCACAAAAAATAAAATATTAATTTGATATGGTTAGAAAAAGTTTTCATTCCCTCATCATTCTACCCCCTCTTCGGCCAACACTCATCACCTTTCACCATCAATAACCACCTCTGACCACCAACAATCATCAACCACTTCTAACCACCACCTGTTGTATTTGCATTTTGGGTTTGTCAATAAATTTTTTTTAATTTTTTGTTTAATTTTATTTTTTGCGACACTCAGGTGATTAATTCAATTTTGAAACTTTTGGGTCAATTGACCCAATTTTTTTTTTTTTCCAACCATAAGGACAATTACAATTTAAAAGACCAGATTATTCCTAATAACAAGTATCCCCAATCCCAACCACCTCACACTATTACTTGTTGCCATTGACAGTCGACCTCTGATGTAGCAAGTGTTTTGGTCCTAATGACTTTTCAACGAATTAAACAGATAGGTCTATCTGTCCATTTTAAATCAAAAAAATATAGATAGATGAGCATATTTGTGCATTAAAAAATGGGGACAAATAAGTTCATTTGTGCAATTTTAGAATAAAAATGGAGACATATAGGTTAATCTATTAACTTTAAATTTAAAAAATAAAGTATAGATAGAGAGAGATATTTAAAAAATCTTCTAACTAAAGATTTCATTTTTGCAATTAATTTGAAAGTTTCATGGCGTTGCAATTACTTATGGATTGATTTCTTGATTGGTGCATTAGAGTATAATAAATAGAGATCTAAAATGGGGATAAATAGAAATATATGTCCCATATTTGTGTAATATCTATGCATTATCTGTGCTATTTGAATATTATTTGTGCCTTATTTTTAGGGGTGATAAATGAACCAAACAACTCAAGCTTGACTTGTGTTCGGTTCATTAAAAACTCGTTTGAGCTCAATTTGTTAAGTAAATAAGTTACGCTTGAATACATTTTGGAACTCGTTAAAGTTTTCAAATAAAATTTAAATAGTTAATTGCTCGTTTGGCTCGATTCGGTAGGCCTAAAATTATATAAAAATATCAAACTACTTGAATTCAGCTCGACAAAAGCTTGTTTTAGATCAACTCAAAAGTTTAACAAACCAACCTTAAATAAATTTTGAAACTCATTAAAATTATCAAATCAAGCTTGAATAGTATTAACTTTCGTTCGGCTCATTCATTACCCTTACTTATTTGTTACCTATTTGAGCATTATATGTGCTTTGTATGCATTATTTGTTGCCTACCTATGTATTATATTGTTATTTGTGCATTATCTGTTGCCTATTTGTGCATTATCTGTTACCTATATGTGTTAGCAAAAATTTAGTTTAAGATCAATCGACATAAACCAATCGACACAAAACACTTGTTGAGTTTTATGCCTTAAACAAATTAAGGATTTCTTTGGAGGTAAAGTAAAGAAGAAATATAATAGAAACATAACTGAATTTGTATTAATCAAGTAAAATGTAACTTGCTACAAGTTACACGAACTTCAAACAAGAACAAAGAACTAAAAAATACATTGATCGATAGAGAAAAAAAATGGAGAGAAGCTACCATTGATAAACTCCTAAAATTGCTAAGTTGACTACTCTTAAATAGAAGTAGGGGTGTAGAAATGGCCCAGCCCAACCTGACCCAATCGGGCTCAGGTCGGCCCGCCAAAAATTGGGTCGAATCGACCCACTCACGCAAAAATCTTGGCCCAGGCCCAAGAGATACTCGGGCCTCAGGCTTGGGCTTGGACCTAGCCAATTTTTTTTTTTATTTTTTTTCACCAAAATATTATTTTTTTCCACCAGAATAGCTTGAAAATAACATTAAGCCTCAGGTAGGCTAGGCCTCGGACTAGGCATTGGAGTAGACCAGGCTTCAGGTTAGGTCGGGGCCTCAAAACAGATGGCCTAGGCCCATGATCACGGATTGGGCTCAGGCTCGAGCATGGCCTGGTCGGGCCACTCCTTGCCATGGGCAAGCTTCGAGTGGGCCGATTTTACACCCCTAAATAGAAATTACTCTTATGATTCACGTTGTGTGAGTTGTTGTGGGATCTCCTAGATAGGGGGTGTCCAAGTTTGCCCAACAATTCAAACCCTCGGTCTAGTTCCACAAGTGCAATGTGTAATGGAATAAGAGTCCAAATCTGGCAATTCTATAGAAAATCCACTAATCACAAGATATGCCAAAAATAGACTACATCACCAAACTCAAAGGCGCCACCTAATATTTTATGGAAAACTAGAAAACTCGTGACTCCTCTTCTGACTCGATCTTCAATCCCTTGATTTCGGCATTGACTCCAACTAACTTGCAACAACTAACTCTTTTGATGATTTTTTTTTTTTTTGGCCTTGATTCGATTCTTTAAATGCCACATCACCATGCCACTTCATGCTACACTACTAGCAAATTTGTCATGTTACGCCATCATTTGTAACGCCCCCAAAATATAAACAACAGACACTCATAACCCCCAACTAATATGCAGAATTTTATTAACATAAATCTTTAAATCATACAACTTTGCAAGCATTCCTAAACACTATCTTCCATTCCATTGATTTATATGAAGTATTACAAGACTGATGTCACATGCATTAATACATTGATAATCCTAAGTTATGAATCCGTAGCATGTGATATATATAAATATACATATAAATGAAAAGAAGAAAAAGAAGTTCATGCTTTAATGGCTACATATTTCCAAGACGATACTTGGTTACAACAAAAGTGGATCAAGCCCAACCCTAGGCTTGTATAAAAGATATTTACAACAAAAAAACAAATAAGCCTTCAAATCCAAAATCCTCCAAAGCTAATCCTTTGGCAAAGGCATGTTATCAATACCTGAAAGTTATTTTCCATATTGGGTGAGCTAAAACCCAATAGAGATTAATTTAATATACTGTATGATGCTTAACAAAGTCATATGGTAAATGCAAATGGATGTCATTTACCAAAATGATAAATTTTCTCTTCCATACAATGCAATGCCATGTTTATAAATAAATTCATAAACTGATACTTTTTAAAATAGAAAACAAGGTAGTAAATACATAACACTGGGAATCTCTAGTACGTGTCTGCTAGTAGGATATACAAGCACTACCAAATCCATTTTACTGGTACTAACCGGAAGGATTGACACTTAACTGCATGATTTCTGGACTTTCACTAAGGACACACAGGCCAACAAAAATAAAACCACAACCACACCCCCTAACTAGATTCACCAAGGTATTTACTCATTTTTCTCAAAACAATACATTTTCAATTGATAAATATGAAATGATGTTCAAATGCAAGATATATGAGTGAATGGTTTTTATTAACCTAGTCCTCATCCAATTTCTATAACAATCAAAGTTATCCTCCACCGATAGCCCAAAACAGATATTTCTATACAAAAGATAACTTCAAGCAAGATATATAATTTCATAATTTCAATATAGCAGTAACAATACATGTTCAACTCCACTTTCAATTCAACAGATACTACCAAAATATATCATTCCATTCTCTACAATTCCTTTACCATTTATTCAAATCATGAATACCCAAGGATTTTAAATATCCTTAAATAGATATTGTTTTCAACCTTTCACACTTTAAAAGCAATTTTTCCAAAATTTCCCATACCAAAACCATTTAAATACCATTTCAAAGAAAACCCGTCTTTTAAATCCCAATCTAAACCCAAATCGAGCCAAATGCAACCCACTAGGGCTGGGCATAGGGTTATTCAACCTGCCCAAATCACTCTACCCAATCAGACTAGCACACGTATGGATGGTTTCGCAAATACATTAGGGTCATATGCGATTTTGATTTTGGCTGTTTTTCGGGTTGTGGGCGGGTTGCAGGTTTGAAGCGCACCAGCCAAACCCGCATACATTAATTTTTTTTTTTTGTTTCCAAATCTGGACCATTTAACATCTTCACTTCATCTATAACAAACAAAACTAAAAACCCTAATCTAATCTCTCAAACTCAAAAACAAAAACATATCTGCTGTTACGCAGCTTTTTCTTTCTTCTCATCTTATCTTATCAGTCTCTCACTTTATTGTTTTTCATCTACACCGATCGACTTCACAAGATCGATCGATTGACCTCGCGAGATCGACTCTCTCTCATTGCAAGATTGACCGATCGACCTCACTCTTTCATCGCACCGATCGACCTCACAGGTAACCCTCTGTCTCTGTCTCTCTTTCTTTCATCTTATCTCATCAGTCTCTCACTTTCTCATTTTTCATCTACACCGATCGACCTCGCAAGATTGACCGATCGACCTCGCAAGATCGACCGATCAACCTTACTCTCTCATCGCACCGATCGACCTCACAAGTAAGCCTCTGTCTTTGTCTCTGTCTCTCTCTCTTTCTCTCTTCGATCTTTGATTTTTGTTTTAGGCAATCAGATATGTCCGTCTGTCTCTCTCTCTCTCTCTCTTCCCGGTCTCTGAATTTTTTTTATATGTTAGATCTATTATTTGTTTATGTAATTAGATGCAATCAGATCTGTTTATTTTGTGCAATCAGATCTGTTATTTGTTAGGCAATTAGATCTATTTATGTAATCAGATTTTTTTTTTTTTTTTTTTTTTTTTTTATTTTTCTTTTTTTTTTTTTTTTTTGTAGCAGCAGATCTCTGAGTTTATTTGTTAATTTCTATTTGTATGACTAAGATTATGTTTCAATGGTGATTTGAATTAAATCTATTCATTTATGTTTGGAATTAAATATGTTATTCAATCTATGATCGAATCTGTGTTAAATCTGAGAGTTGGAATTGAATCTGTGTTATTGGAATTAAATTTGTGTTATGGGAATTAAATCTGTTATTGAATATGTGTTATTGAATATGTTATTAAATCTGTTATGTTATTGAAATTGAATTTAATTGATCTGTTATGTTATCGAATCTATTATGATATTGAATTTAATTGATCTGTTATGCTATTAAATTTGTTATGTTATTGAATTTAATTGATCTGTTATGTTAATTTCATGTACTTAACACACATTTTCTTACTATATTGAGATGCAATATATAGACATTTATTTATCGTTTCATTACTTTATTCTTTTACACTTTTTTTTTGTCAAAGGAATTACGAAAATTGAAGATTAAATTTTTTATTTTTCAATTTGTTTTTGTGTAGGGTTCATCAACCAAATGCATGGAATTAAAATTTTTGGAACTTGGATGTGATTAATGATGATGGAGTTTGAGATATTGTATTGTTGCAAATGTTTTTATTTTATTTGACAACAATTTTATTTTTATTGCATTTTGAATGAATGTAATAGTTAATGAAGTTTGTTTGACAATAATTTTATTTTATTTTTTTTCATTTTATTATTGCATTTTGAATGAATGTAATAGTTAATGAAGAATTACTTTTAGGTAAGTTTAGGATTTTGAATGATTTTACTTTAATTTTGTATTATTGGGTAGTAGTAGATAGGGATGGCAATGGGAGACAACGAGGCGGATATTAATTCCCCATCCCCATTCTCCTACTATAATTTTTCCCCATCTCCCATGGGAATTACCCTTTCCATCCCCTAATGGGTTTGGGTTTTCCCCAACCCAACTTGACCCAGTTTTTTTTTTCACAGCTAAAGAGTCAAATATGCATTTCTTTTTTTATTTTTATTTTATTTATTCAACAACAAAATCAAATACACATTAGTTAATTAATTAAAAAAGCTTATTTGACATAATCAAACATAAATGACTATGTTAAACTGACCCAAAAATAACACTAGTTTTGTACAACCACAATGAACCCAAAGAACAGAAGTTTCAAGAAATTTCTAATGTAATTAACAAAAGAGTAAAAAAAGGGAAGGGTAAGCATACGAAACAAAGGAAACCAATTTAAGAACTCTTGTGAAGAGCTCATTATATGTCTAATTTCTATAGCATGAACAAGATAGCTTGAAAAAACATTTGCACTTTTCCATGAAAATTGAGAAACAACAAGGGTACTATCTTGGACAAATCACCCCTCCATGGAGGACAAATCACCCTTCTTGTACAAAAATGGTGGGCAATTGCTTCCCCCCATTATCTTGCACAGAGCTAGAGATATAGATTCATATATATATATATATATATAAAGAGAAAGAGAGAGAGAGAGAGAGAGTGAGTATGTGTGTGTAAGAGAGAGAAGTTATAAAAACAACAATACATGAATCATATCCAAACCTTGCATTTTTTGAAAAACTTCCAAAACAGATTTGCCAACACGTTATAAAAAAATCCAGAAATCCCTTTTCAATGTGCTTGTTTATATTTTTCTTTTTCTTTTTGTTTTCTTTGAACATTGCTAGTAAACAACTATCTACTTTCCTTTCCTCTCAGATGTCACTGAGACTTCAGAATATTAGAGAAAGAGAGAAAGAGAAACGAGAGACAAGAAAGAAACAAAGAGTGAAAGCGAGAAACTCAACAACCGTGATAAGCACCGATAGAGATCTCCGCACTAGATCGTCTTCGTCACAAATTGCCAATGCTGGAGTGAGCGACAGTGCGAAATGACAACCTAACTACAAGCAGGGTAGTCAAAAACCCATATGAGGAAATGATAGGGTATCCATCCCCAACCCATCTCCGCTGGGGATTTAAAGAATACCACTGACCCAACCCAACCCAATGGATATAAAAAGTGGGGAAATTTTGCATAATCGGGTCAGATCCCCATAGGTAACCACTGGATAGGATATCAATTGCCATCCCTAATAGTAGATGGAGAATGTTGAGAAAGTAATTGGAGAGTGAGATTGATGATTTAGCTTAGGATTGTGAATGATTTTACTTTAATTGTATTGTTGGGTAGTAGATTAATTTTGAATGATTTTAAGATTTTGAATGATTTTAGAATTTTGAATGATTTGAGGATTTTAAATGATTTGTTTGTATTAGGAATTGATTTTGTTGTGTTTTTAATTTTATAAGTTTTAATTCATTAATTATTAATGTTGGAGCATTTTAGAAAATTGGAACAAAATGACCCAAAATAAATATTTACAAAATGGGAAAAAAAAATCAAAAATTAATTTTTAAGGAAAAAAATTCAATTCGCAAATTCCCCGCAACCGCTTGCACATCCACAAACCCTATCCGTACAAACCGCAAACCGCACTGTAGGCGGTTGCGGTTTGACTTTTCCCCAAACCGCATAGGTGCAAGTGGGTCAAAATCGAGCCGCAAACTGCACAAATCCGATCCGTCAGCACCCTACAACCCATAACTCTTAAAAGCACACCATTCTATTCAAAGAACACATAACCGAAATCAATACCATACAAAACACTAAAGAAACCCCTACCTCAAAGTAGAAGGAGAGAGAAAAATCAATCCCAAAATTGACAGTGACAGAAATCCTTTCAGATTAAAAGGACCACCTCCGCGCACTCTACCTTTTATCCCAAAGCACCAAGGTGGCGAGATTAGCAGATTAGGGTGTATGAGAAAGTTTATGTGAGATTTCAAAAAGAGAGAGAGAAAGAAATTTTGTTCAGAAAGTAAGGAGAGGGGAAGAGAAAAGTAGAAAAGTGAAAAGAAGATCATTTTTCATAGCTATATACTAACAGATCACTCGAGCAACTAAAATACTGCTCGAGCGTCAAACACAAACAACCACTCGAGCAACCAAACCATGGCTCGAGCGAAGAAACCAAATTCCTAGAACATCACTCTATCGAACATATCGCTCGAGCGAAGTAATCACTTCTCGAGTGAATAATGACCCTTTCAGAAGTCTAGATTGTAAAAGACCGCTCAAGTGAAGAACACCACACTCTCAGAAGTTTAGACTGTAAACACATATATTGGGAGAAACAAAAGACTGCTCGAGGGAAGAAAAAACTACTTGAGCGAACTCAAGAACAAACAAACAAAATTTCCTTTGAAATACTAATTCCCAATCTGTTCAAAACATTACTCAACAATCCACACAACCACTCTTTATTAACAACAAGACTAAAAGGAGTATATACAACAACAATGGGCACCAGATTCCAAACCATAGAGTACAGAAGGGTCGGGTCTTAACTAGGGCCACTATATCATTCCTGTTGACAAGTAATTTTTAAAAGTTATTGTCAACAATATGTGCATTATTTGTTGCCTATCTATACACTTTTAAATTCTTTATAAATAACACACATATATTAGTCTATTTTACAAATTAAAAATGAAAAATTATATTTATATGACATTGAAATTTAAACAAGTCATAACTGTGTTCGATAGTCTATTTTAGATGATTTTTTTATTCCATATATATTTTCAAAAATTATCAATTCAATATGCCAAAGGCGTTTTTTCATTCTTATTTTTGTAAAAAATATTGTTTTAACTCTTATGCTCCTTGTGTTTGGGCAAAAAATATTTTCAAAATTTCTAGTATTTGTTACAGTGGAAAACAGAAGTCAAAAAAAAAAAAAAAAAAAATTCATGGTCAATGAAAAAAAAGCTATTTGGATAGAAAATGTTTTCCACTTTTAAAAGGCGAAAAACATTTTTCAAACTAAATTTTTACAAATGTCACCACACCAACACCACTGCTCTCACATCCACCACCACACCACCATCATCATGGCCACCGCCACTATCACTGTCACCATCACCACCGCTGTCGCTCCACCACAATGCCACCGCCTTCACCTTCGTTCCACCAACATCACCACCAAATATAGAAAAATATTCTCTGAAAAACATTTTCTAAATTTTTTTTCCGCAGAATATATTTTTCGTCTAAACAAACGGAGCGTAAATGTGCACTTTTTCGCATAAATAATGAAACACATACCCAAAACCATATCATTAGGTACCTATGGTAAGGAAAATTCTAGTTCTATTGAACTGCCCCTAAATTTGCAAGATACCAAATATACAGTGGGCTTCCTTTAGCAATTAGATTAAATGCCAATTTATTGATTTTTTGATTTTTTTTAAGTCTCATCATCTCTCTACTTTTTTTTGCACATTTTTTTAAAAGAAGTTAAAAAATCAACTTTTAACCTATTCCCAAAAAGCATTGTCTTGCCATAGGTCAATTGGTTATTTTTCTCTCTCCATAATTTCATATTTAATATAGGTATTGTTTTAGACATCACCAAAAGATGAATCCAAAATATTGAATTTATTAAAATTGGATTTATGTAGTCAAAAGTTATAGCATTTTTATTTTATTTTTTTTTCAACACAAATGCACATAAAAGCATAAATATGTCAAAAATTATCCTCACCAATTACAAAATGCCATGTGTGTCCTTATATCTAAGAAATACCAAAGTTTGAACCTCCACCACAATACAGTCCATGCACTGGACAACTGGCCAATTTTTTTTCTTTTTATTTTTTTTTTATTCACAAATCCAAGATCCAAATACCAGCTTAATGGAGGAACAATTCTTTGCACTCTGCAAAGAAAGATATATCACTCATTATGTCACAAAATACCCCAAATTAAAAACATTTTCGAGGGATCATTACAAATGAGAGCGACCCCCATTTACTAGCCCTTTAATTTATTTCTTCTTTTAAATGAAGAAGTAAAAAAATGGGCAAAAAATAATATTTTGTTTGTAAGTCATAATTTTGTAAAATACGAACTATGTCAAAATTATTGTTTCTCTATTTACAGTGAAGACGACAACATTAGATTAGGGATACACAGGAATAATATACACGATGCATATACTGACGAAGAACTATCCTCCTCCTCTGATAACAGGATCCTGAATAGCGACCCATTAGCCCAATATCCCTCTACCTCGAAGGACCTTCAAGAATAGGAAAAACCGCCTGGGCCAAAATCCTCGGACAATACAACTACTTCTCCGACAGAATAAGTTTCAAGTACTACGATCAAGACGCCGTCTACAACGTCATAGACGACATTAAATACTCGACAGTCCCTATCGAACTAATAAAGAATTTAGTAGCTTGCCAGAGAGACTTCCATGTATTTGTTAAATTCCAACCAGATCTCACCATTAGAGGAGAAATTCCTTGTATTATATTAACTAATGGGGATAGTAATTGGTTAGATACAATGTCCCAAAAAATGAGAGAATGGTTTGATGTAAATATAACTACTGTTATGATTAATGAAAAATTTTATTAATTTTATTTATGTAACCACTCAAACTTTTTATTTACTTACTACATTTCCCTTATCGTCAACTATTACATCTTTAGAGTCATCACAATTTTTTATACTCATTATTACATTTTGTAAAACATCAGAAAATTCTACGGGGTCCATAACAACTGATCCTCTTCGATCAACTTCCTCTTTTCTTACACTAACCTCCGAAATCGACAGACCAGGATCAACATCACTAGTACCATCACCTTTGTGTACATCAATCTTAGACAAACTCAGACGACCTCTGCGTTCATGAATAACTAAACCACTTCTCCCAAAACCTCCTA